CCTTTAAAAATATTCCTGAAAATCCAAAACCAACCTCCATCCCCCCTAATTTCAAATATCCATCTGTTATCGCTATTAACATCTAAAAGTATGCTTTAAATAGCCTACTTAACATGAGCCCCAAAAATTATGCCACACTGTTCGTGCTTTTCTCGCAAGGAGACGACTTAATATGAATGATTTCTAGGAAATCCCAGCTATTGTTCGGAAAAAAGTATGCTATATTAAATTTAAGAATGATGCCGGTATTTGCATAAATATCAGTAAAGATGGAATTCACAAACAAGGGGACGAAACGAATACAGGCACACACTCACATTCTTGTTCGCAATAACAGAAAGAGCAAATAAACAAATGAAGAAAACAATGTAATAAATTCCATGTAAAACAAATAAAGCAAACAGGGAAGGCTGGCTGGCTGGCAGGAGATGTGCTCACTCCGTGGAAGAAGGAGATGAAAGGCAAAACAAATGAAATCAATGGCATCGGTAATGGTTAAAACCTCCGTAGCTCTGTGACCAGTCCAGACCCCAGGAACCACTTCCTTCCATGTGATTTTTTCTTCTGTTTTTTTTCTCTTCGGAATATCTGTAAACAATACCAGCCCCGGAGAATCGGGACCAAAGAGGAGGCCATACAAAATTGTAATTTTCAGAATTTGTCACGAATCAACAATTTATTTGTATGACCTCTTTGTGCGACATGGGCCATCGACAACCTTAACACCCCGGCATATTCCAAGAGGTGGAAAACAAAAAACAGAAAAAAGCTGAAATGAAAACAAGCAGAACCAACCAGATTGATTCTCCCAGTAATGCCATAAAATATTTTCATGCAATCTTGTTGTCCGGCTGCTGGGTTGTGCCTTTGACCACAACGATACGAATGGCCAAAAGATGGCCGGATGGAGCCAATGGTGCCTTACACACACACAATAGCACGCACACCGGGATCTTTTCACACACACACATACAAAAGAAGTAAGAAAAACGGAAAAATAATCATATCGACAAAGAGAAAATATTTACACAATAAATGTGTATAGCTGGCAAAGCGGAACATGCAGAATAAGATTATTGTGTCTCTCTGGGTGTGAGTGTGTGTGTGCGTGTGTCCTTACATTTCCATTGTCCCAGCGAGAGAACTTTGAGGTTACCTGTTTCCACCAACACCGAGCATATGGATGCTCCCATCGAGATATATATGACCGACAAAGTATTTTATGTTTCTGCTGGGTGACCATGGCAACGTTTCATTTCCCTTCCATTTTTCACCACTGATTTCATTTTGGATTTCCTTTATTTTATTTTTTTCTCTTTTTGTACTTTTCTTTATTGGTTTACAGTAAAGGATTTTCTTTCCACCCCCCCTTTGTTTGTTTCTTAATGCAACGAAAAATATTCGATCACCTTTTGTGCGTAAAATTCTCGATAATAATTGAATTGCTTTCTGATTTTTTTGCATTGTTTTTTTCTTACAGATCCACCGGAAATCATCAAGAAACCCCAAAACCTGGGCGTTCGAGTGGGAGGAGTTGCGACATTCTATTGTGCGGCCCGAGGAGATCCACCGCCAACGATAGTTTGGAGAAAGAATGGCAAGAAAGTTTCAGGTGAGGAAAAAAAATTTAAGTTAAGAGCACATTGCCTAAAAGTATGCTTCAAATAATTGTTTTTCGATGACATTTTTTGTATTTGATACCCTACCTTCTAGAATATTATCTAGAAAAATTAAAGGATCAGAGAGATGCTTGAAAAATATTCTTTAAAAAAAATCCAAGTCAATTGGAGATCCTCAAAAATAGTTTTTACATCAATTGGAGGTCCTTGTAAAATATTTTTAATACGTCCATGAAATGTCCTTTAAACGTAATATAAAAAATCCATGACTTCTTAGAGGTCCTTTAAATATATTAAAAGAAAAAAAACGCTTTAGTTGGAGGTCCATGTAAAATATTTATAATACGACCATGGAATGTCCTTAAATATTGTATAAAGAAAACCTTGGTCCTCTTAGAAGTCCTTAAATATATTTGAAATCCACGCTTAGTTTGAATGAAAATGTTTCCGAAAAGTTCACGTCCTTAAAAAATATTTGAAATCCACGCGCAGTTTGAATGAAATTGCTTCCGAAAATATTTTTGAAAAATCCACGTCCTATAAGATTTCCTCTAAAGACTTGATCCTACGCCCTGTTAGTGGTCTTTTAAAAATATTTTTGAAGAATCCACATCCTCTTGCAAGACCTCCGCTAAATATAACGTTAAAAATTTCACAACTTCTTAGAGATTCCTTAAAAATATTTTTAAGAAATCCATGTTCTCTTGGAGGTCCTTTAAAAATATTTTTTAAAAATTCAAGTTCTCTTAGAGGTCCAAGTGCCTTGAAAATATTTTTGGAAAATGCAGGCCCTCTTAAAGATCCTTAAAAACATTTTTAAAAATGGAGAGTTTTTAAAATTATTTTTAAAAAATCCATGTCCACTTGGAGAGATTTTAAAAGATATTTAAAAAAAAACACGTCCTCTTGGAGAGTTTTTAAAAATATTTTTAAAAAATACACTTCCTCTTGGAGAACCTTCAAAAATATTTGTAAACAATCCACGTCCTTTGGAGGACCTTTAAAAATTATTTTTTAGAAATCTACGTCCTTTGAAGGACCTTTAAAAATTATTTTTTAGAAATCTACGTCCTTTGAAGGACCTTTAAAAATTATTTTTTAAAAATCTACGTCCTTCGGAGGACCTTTAAAAATTATTTATTAAAATCTACGTCCTTTGGAGGACCTTTAAAAAATATTTTTAAAAAATCCCCGTCATTTGGAGAATCTTTAAAAATATTTCTTAAAAATCCACGTCCTTTCAAGAGACCTTAAATAATATTTTTAAAAATCCACGTCTTTTCAACAGACCTTAAATAATATTTTTTAAAAATCCACGTCCTTTTAAAAGACATTAAAAATATGTTTGAAAATCCACGACATTTTAAAAGACCTTTAAAAATATTTTTGAAAAATCCATGTCATTTTAAAAAACCTCTGAAAATATTTTTAAAAAATCCACGTCCGTTGGAGGACCTTTAAAAATTATTTTTTTAAAAATCCACGTTATTTGGAGGACCTTTAAAATTATTTTTTAAAAATCTACGTCCTTTGGAGGACCTTTAAAAATTATTTTTTAACAATCCATGTCCTTTGGAGGACCTTTAAAAATATATCTAAAAAATACACGTTCTTTGAAGGACTTTTAAAAATATTTCTTTAAAAATCCACGTCCTTTCAAGAGACCTTAAAAAATATTTTTGAAAAGTCCACGTATCTTAAAGGGTCTTTAACTTTTTTTTTTCTTTGAAAATATTAAAAATTTTCTGGCCTTTAAAGATATTTTTAAAAAATCCACATTCCCTTTGAGGTCCTTTAAAAATATTTTTGAAAAATGCAGGTCCTCTTAAAGGTCTCTTTAAAATATTTTTAAAAATTTAACGAAGGTCATTTAAGAATATTTTTAAAAATTCAACGGCCCGTTAGAGGTCCTTTAGAAATATTTTTAAAAAATCCACTTCCATCCAGGACCTTTAACGTCCTTTAAAAATATTTTTAAAAAATCCACATTCACCTATAACGTCGTTTATAAATATTAACGTTCGTTAAAAATATCCAGGACCTCTATAAAAATATTTTTAAACAATCCACGTCTATACAGGGCCTCTAAGAATATTTTTAAACAAATATTTTAAATTAAATTCAGGACTTCTACGTCCATTCAGGACCCCTAAAAATATTTTATAAAAAACCACGTCTATCCAGGACCTCTAAGAGATATTTTTAAAAAAATCCACGTCAATCCAGGACCTCTAACGTCATTTATAAATATTATCCAGGACTTCCAATTCCTTAAAAATTATTTTTAATATATATATATATATATATATATATATATATATATATATATATATATATATATATATATATATATATATATAAATTAAATTCAGGACTTCTACGTCCATTCAGGACCCCTAAAAATATTTTATAAAAAACCACGTCTATCCAGGACCTCTAAGAGATATTTTTAAAAAAATCCACGTCAATCCAGGACCTCTAAAGTCCTTTAAAAATATTATCCAGGACCTCCAATTCCTTAAGAATTATTTTTAAAAAATCCACGTCCAGGACCTCTAACGTCCTTTATAAATATTATCCAGGACTTCCAATTCCTTAAAAATTATTTTTAATATATATATATATATATATATTTATTTATTTATTTATTTTTTTTTTTGTGGAATATTTTTAAAAAGTCCACCTTCTTCCATAGGTCACTTATAATAAATTTTTAAAATTTCCATGGCCTGTTATGAGGCTTTTAAAAATAATTTCAAAAATCCACATCCACATCCTCCTTTAAAAATATTTTTTATCCGCATCCTCTTAGAGGTCCCTATTTTTTTAATCTAGGTTTTCTTAAAAATTTTCTCATCTCAGAGCTCCTTTTAAAAATTATTCCAAAAATCCTCAATTTCCAAAAAATCACGTCTGTTAGCCGAGATTTCCCTGCAGGATTTTTTTAATTCAATTTCTTGTTAATGTTGTTAACTCCGCACGTCGCATTGTTTTCCTTTTATATTTCTTTAATAATTTAATAAATCAAATACTGGAACAATATTGATTTTTTTTTTTTTTGGGTGTTCTTTGATTGGACAGATTATCAAACACATATAAACATTTATTTTAACACGTTCTGATCAACCTCACTTCCCCCTCTCTCCCTCTTATGACAACATATTGTACGAATAATGCTCATGCCGTAACGTTTTCCCTTTTCTTTGATTTTTTTTCCAGGCACCCAATCACGTTACACGGTATTGGAACAACCGGGAGGTGTTTCGATATTACGCATTGAGCCTGTACGTTCGGGACGTGATGATGCTCCATACGAGTGCGTAGCTGAGAATGGTGTTGGCGATGCTGTATCAGCAGATGCTACATTAACAGTGTATGAAGGTAAGTGCACACACTCCAAACACCCCCTATGACCTTTGACTATTTATTTAAGGCATAGATAGAGTGGTGGTCTATGGGAAAGGAGCCCGGCAACTCCAATGAAGGACAAAGTTTTTTTATATTTAATTAAATTTGCTCAAAATATTTACTAAACTCTCTGGCTTTTATTTTGGTTGCCAAAATCTCAAATGCCAACACACAACGTATGTATTTATTGTGTGTGGAAGAAGAGGTTGGGCTGAGTTCAGCTAACATCCTTTATCAAAAAATTAATCCTTGATAAACTACTGGAAAAATAGTAAAAATTGTATTTTTAAACTTTTTTATTGAATGTTGGTTAGTTGTTTTTTTTTTACGTCTCTGGGAACTTTTATTCCACAGCTGGTCTTGTTGTTGGTGTTCTTATTTTCCAGTGCAACAACAACATCCTCATGGTCTGTGTACTTTTAACTTTTTATATAAACATTTATTTTATGTTACCCAACATACCAAATTGACTTGAGAATAATATTTTAATAAGCTTTCAAAAATAAGCCTTAAGCTTGAGAAAATCTTGAGAATGTATTGAGAAATGGTTGTTTAACAATTATAGAATAATCGAAAGGGAACCCTTATTCATAAGCTTATTCTTGTAATTGCAGAATAAGCTTACGAAAGTAATATTATATCAAGCTTATTTTTTCAATGGTATAAAATATTTATTTTTTAATTATTTTACACATTTCATTCATTGATCGCCATCCCAGCTGTCGCTGCCTCCTGTTGCATTGATACCTAGATGATTTCTTTCCCCTTATTTGAGCTTTCGCATCTCCTCCACTAATTCTTCACTTCTCTTGAATTCTTGCAACTTTTTGACGCCTCTATTCTGAAATGAGATTGAAATAATATACACTACAGATTCCCAGATTTATTACTCATCATTACCTTAGAGTTTCGTCCAGAAATGGGTCTTAAATTCGCGTGATTTTGATTTTATCCAAAGAAAATATTTTTTTTGTCGACAATTTTCACAAAAAAATCAAAACAAATTTGTCAACAAAGGACAGATTTGAGAAAAGTTTGTGCAAAAAAGTTTTTCTCTAGCATTGTTGAGGAATTCTTACGATAAAATATTTTCATAATATTATTCTCAAGCTGTATTGTATTTTTGGTATGTTGGGTGAGTTCTGAGTTTCTATGTGTGTGTGTGTGTTGGGATACATGTGTTAAATTTCAAAAAAAAGTTTATTTTCTCTCTCTCTCTCTCTTCTTTTTTTATTTTATTTTTTTATTTATTTTTTTTTTTTTTTTTTTTTTTTTTTTTTTTTTTTTTTTTTTTGTTAAATTTTTGTGTGCCTTTGTGTGTGTGTGTTAGTGCAAGTTTAAATGTTGTTGTGGTAACATTTGATTTTGCTTTATTGATCTCTTTAACTCTTGAAAACTACGAGCAATGAGCTCAGAGAAAACTTCCATGGAAAAAAGAGAACCACTCATCCATATACCATGGCCATTCACATGAAACACACACACACCCACATACACCCACACAAACAAATAATTTTTAGGTACTTCCCAACATACCAAAATGGCTTGAGAATAATATTACATTAAGCTTATGAACATAAGCCTTAAGCTTGAGAAAATCTTGAGAAAACATTGAAAAATGTTTGTGTAACAAGTATAGAATAATCGAAACGGAACCCTTATTTATAAGCTTATACTTGAAATTGTAGAATAAGCTTACAAAAATAATATTATAATAAGCTTATTTTTGTAATAGTATATAATATTATTATTTTTTTAATTTTTAATCATTTTTCACATTTTTTTCTTAATGGACATCCCAGTAGTCACTGCCTCATGTGGCCTTGATACCCTGACGCTTTCTTCTCCCTTATTTGAACTTCTGCATCTCTTCCACTAAGACTACACATCTATTGAATTCCTTCAACTTTTTTGATGCTTCCAATCTGAAATGGGATTGGAATAATTTATGTGAAAGATTCCCGGATTTATTATTCATGCATACCTTAAGGGTTCGGTCCAGAAATGGGTCCTAAATTCGCGTGATTTTGTTTTCTGCCAAAGAAAATAATTTCTTGCTGACAATTTTCACAAAAAATCAAAACTAATTTGTCAACAAGGGACAGATTTGAGAAATGTTTGTGGAACATAAGTGTTTCTCAAGCATTGTTGAAAAATTATATTTTTATAATATTGTTCTCAAGCTGCATTGTATTTTTGGTATGTTGGGTTGTTGTAGTGCTTTGACAAATTCTTATGAGAAAATAAATTTTGCCAGGAAGCTCAGACTCACACACACAGGATGTCGGAAAAATAGAGGCATTGATTAAACTATTGCTGGTTCTGCTTTCTCTTGCCCCCTCCCTTACACTCTTCTCTTGTATGGAGGACCAACTTTTGACCCAAAAGCCTAATCAACTAACAATGTTATTTAAGTTTTCAAAAATCAATGGGTTTTTTTCCGGAGAGAAAGGGAAGCCAGGCTATGCAAAAGAAGTTGAAAAATCAAATATTTTTTTTTCGGGGCATGCTTTTAGGCGAATTTGTGTTGGCCATGCTTTATTTGTTTTTCATTCGAATTTAGTGGTTTTCCGGTGTAGAGTTTTAATCAAATCTATTTTATTATTTTTTTTTTTTTTTTGTTTTTATACCCTCTACCATATAATGGATGGTGGGTATATTAACTTTGTCATTCCGTTTGTAACTCCCCGAAATACTCATACCAGACCCAACAAAGTATATATATATTCTTGATCAGCGTAAAATTCTAAGACGATTCAGCCATGTCCGTCTGTCCGTCTGTGTGTCTCTCTGTCTGTCCGTCTGTATGTCCTCCGGATATTTGGTATTTTGATGATTTTAGCGACATTATTCACCAGAATTGTTTCAAATTTGGTATTTAAAGTTCGAAACGGATACTACAGCCTAAGACAGAAAATTGTCTATGCAGATCCAGGTCTTCGTATAGGCTCCATATATCTGTACCTCCCTATATTCGGTATTTTGATGATTTTAGCGACATTATTCAACGGAATTGTTTCAAATTTGATATTTGAAGTTCGTAATGGATATTACAGCCTATGACAGAAAATTGTCTGTGCAGGTCCACGTCTTCGTATAGCCCCCATATAACGATATCTCCCGATATTCGGTATTTTGATTATTTTAGCGACATTATTCACCGGAATTGTTTCAAATTTGATATTTGAAGTTCGCAATATATACTACAGCCTATGACAGAAAATTGTTTGTGCAGGTCCACGTCTCCATACAGCCGCCATTTAACGGTACCTCCCAATATTCGGTATTTTGATGATTTTAGCGACATTATTCACCGGAATTGTTTCAAATTTAATATTTGAAATTTGAAATGGATACTACAGCCTATGACAGAAAATTGTCTGTGCAGGTCCACGTCTTCGTATAGCCCCCATATAACGGTATCTCCCGATATTCGGTATTTTGATTATTTTAGCGACATTATTCACCGGAATTGTTTCAAATTTGGTATTTGAAGCTCGAAATGCACACTACAGCCCATGACAGAAAATTGTCTGTACAGGTCCACGTTTTCGTATAGCCCCCCTATAACGATACCTCCCTATATTCAGTATTTTGATAATTTCAGCGACATTATTCACCGGAATTGTTTCAAATTTAATATTTGAAGTTCGAAATGAATGCTACAGCCTATGACAGAAAATTGTCTGTGCAGGTCCACGTTTTCATATAGCCCCCATATAACGGCACCTCCCTATATTCGGTATTTTGATGATTTTAGCGACATTATTCACCGGAATTGTTTCAAATTTGGTATTTGAAGTTCGTAACAGATACTACAGCCTATGACAGAAAGTGGGCTTTGCAGGTCCACGTTTTCGTATAGCCCCCATATAACGGTACCTCCCGATATTCGGCATTTTTATGATTTTAGCGACATTATTCAACGGAATTGTTTCAAATTTGGTATTTGAAGTTCGTAATGGATATTACAGCCTATGACAAAAAATTGTCTGAGCAGGTCCACGTCTTCGTATAAGCTCAATATATTCTTGTACCTCCGCATATTCGGTATTTTGATGAGTTTAGGTACAATACCCACCGAAATTGTTTGATATGTCGTAATTGAAGTTCGTAATGGATGCTACAACCTGTGACAGAAAATTGGTGGCTATGCTGGACCAGGTCTTCGTATAGGCTCCATATATCTATACCTTCCTATATTCGATATTTTTAAGATTTTAATAGAATTTTTAAGGGATTTTATTTTTTGAAAATTTCTAAATTCGTTTCACATTGTGGAGGGTATTCCAAGTTCGGAACGGCCGAACTTACTGCTTTTTAACGGAATACAAAATGAGGTTCATCGCTTCATTTCCAGCGCACAATGGTCGTTGGGCTATTGTGTCTGGAGTATTTTGGAAAGTAAGGTTGGCACTAACAAATACCAAAGCGTCGATCACCTCAAGCCAGCGCTTCGCTGGGAATGGGCCAAAATACCGCAGAGCAATATTCGGCCATCGTGTGGCCACCAAAATCTCCGGATACCAATCCGTTAGACTATTGTATTTGGAGTATAGTGGAAAGCAAGGTTGGCATTAAAAAATACCAAAGTGTCGATCACCTCAAGCAAGCGCTTCGCCGCAGAGCAACATTTGGGCAGCGTGTTACGTTTGAAGGCCATAATTCGTGCCAAAGGTGACCAATTCGACAAATCTAAACTTTTTCTAAAATTGAATGCTATTTCCGTTCATTCAATAAAATTTGAAAAAAAAAATGTAAAAATTATGGCGTTTGACTTTGTTGCAGTTGTTTTATCTCACCTCATATTAGTGTCATATGGGAAGTGCCTGTTCCCAATTTAGAGTAAGCCTTTTTATAGCATATTTATGGGCGCTTCCGTAATTATTATGACATTTCATATTTGAAACATATGGAAGTAGTGTTTTCACACTTACTTAGAGTTTTATAGCATACTTTTAGGTGTCATCTAT